AAATAAATTTTAAAAATCACAACAAAACACAAAATTATAAAAAAAAGTTATCAATCCCAGCATGAAGGATGCAGAGACAGGCAAATTTCTATGAGTTCCAGAGCAGCCTGGTTTACACAGTGAATTTTAAGTCAAGGACTATGCCCAGTTCCAGGGCCATATAGTGAAACCCTGTCTCAATAAGTTAATTAATTAATTAATTAAAGACCCACCAGGAGAAGCCACGATGGTTGTGCCTGCCTGTAATTCCAGCATTAGGGAGGTTGAGGTAGGAGGATTGTTGTGAGTTTGAGGCCAGGTGCCAAGCTAGTGGGCAGCATAGTAAGGCCCTATCTCAAACAAACAAGCAAACAAAGAAACAGGCTGGGAAATGGCACAGCTGGTAAAGTACTTGTGGAAGTATGAGGACCTGAGTTTGATCCCCAGAACCCATAGAAAAGCCAGGCACATCATTATGTGCCATTCCTGCTCTGGGGAGGGGAGATAGGAGGAGCTCCTGGGGCTTGCTGGCCAGCCAGTCTAGCTGAAGCTTCAGTGAGAGATCTTTTCTCAAAAAATAAGGTAGGGGACACTAAAATGGCTCAGTGGGTAAAGGCTCTTGCTGCGAAGCCTGAAGATGCGAGTTTGACTCCCAGAACCCACATGGTGGAAGAAGAGAACCAATTCCTTCAAGTTGTCCTCTTACCTCCACATGCATATGTTGGCAAGCACACACACATATACACATGCACACACAAACACAAATAAATAAATAAATAAATAAATAAATGTTAAAAATAATAAAGTGGGGGCTGGAAAGATGACTCAGCAGTAAAGAGCACTGCTTGCTCATGCAGAGGACCCAGGTTTGAATCCTAGCACCCACATGGCAGCTAACAACCTTCCATAACTCTAGTTCCAGGGGAATCCAATGCCCTATTCTGACCTCCAAAGGCACTGCACGACACAGGTGCACTTACATACATGCAGGCAATACACTCCTATACATAAAATAAAAATAATAAAATATTTTAAAAATGAAGTGGAGAGCAATTGAGGAAGACCCCCAGCATTGACTTCTGGTTGCCACACATATACATATGTATGTATACATGCACACACAAAACAAAATCAAGAGAAGGGATCATGATGCCAATAGCAAATTCCCACAGTACTCCATAGCTGCTCACATCTAATGGCAAACACAGACTGCCTCCCACAGAAGTTTTTCCTAGTGCAGAGCCAGGGCATGTGCTCCTCTGGACTCTCTGCACTGTGCACATATCTCTAGTAGTAGATTATAGAGATCTGTTTTAATTTTTCTATTTTTTATTCAGGCTTGAGAGGTTTGCGAGGACAGATTATAACACATTCATTTCATGCCAAGCTTGGCATAGAGTAGTGATTATTTAATAAAATCTTGCTGAAGAGGCAGATGTGGTGGGACATGACTGTAATCCCAGTGCCGGTGTTTGGAAGACCGACATGAGTGATTGTGAATTCTAGATCAGTGTTGGCTATACAGTGAGAGACCATGTCACACACACAAACACACACACCCCTCAACCAAATAAAAATAAAAACTCCTTCATTTTGAATGAATACCCATAAGCTCAAGGATCATGAATAGAATGCCCACTCCCCTTTATGGAGGAAAGTTAAACCCAGGGATGGTAGTACCAGGATCACACAGCTGCAGCTGCTCAGTGGACTAAGATTAGTCTCCAGACTTCTAACCTAGTCCTCGTTAGACAACATGTCCTTTCCATGTTCTCTCACCTGCTGTTGGATGGTAAGTATGGAGAGGAAAGGCATTCCTGACCTCTCCATCCCTGAGTGCCTTGACACACCATATTCAGCTTTGCCATGTCATCATGAACTTGGATGAGGACAGAGAAGGCCTGTTTAAATCCAAAGATCACAAAAAATAGGAAAGGGTGGATTCACATTGGGTGATAAGCAGAGAATTCAAAAAAATCTAGACAAGAGGGAAAGCGATTGTGAGAAAGAAGATGAGGGTTTTTTTGTCTGTTTGTTTTTTTGTCTTTTCTTGAGACAGGGTCTCCTTGTAGCCCCAGCTGTCCTGGAACTCACTATGTAGACCAGGCTGGCCGAGAACTCACAAAGATCCGCCTGCCTCTGCCTCCCAAGTGCTGGGATTAAAGGCGTGCACCACCACAAGAAGATGAGTTTTAACTATAACACAGGGTAAGATTTTGTCTTCAGCATGGGAAAGACTTTGTAAGGAGTGTAGAAGACTTAGGGGAATAATGGTTCATGTTGAAAGCTCACAGGCTTAGGAGTCAAAGAAATAATGTGGCTGCAAAAAAAAATTGTTAATGTATGTGAGAAATACTAATATAGTTTTAGGATGCTCTGATCTAACCTCTGCAGAAGGGAGAGAGAGAGAGAGAGAGAGAGAGAGAGAGAGAGAGAGAGAGTGGAGGGTCACTAGTGCCACCATATCTATTGTTGTAAGAAAAGTAGCCTAGAAAGCAAGTCCATCCATCAACATGCTCAAAAAAGCCTTCAGGCTTGCTCTGTCTAGTGCTTGTCTAATTCTCCATCTCTTTTACACACTTGAATGACAAGCATCTTTCCACTTGTTTATGTATACTGTTCTCTCTGCCTGGAATACTCTGTCCCCAACAATCTACTTAGTACCTATTTTCAAAGTCATGCTTGAGATTTACTTCCTTCCTAATGAAAGCCCCTGGCAGAACTAATCACTGTTTTCTCTACACTTTTATGCTTCTCTCTCTATAGTTCTGTAATTGGATGTTGCACCTTGCATTGTTTTATGTGCTTGTCTCCTTTATTGGATTGTAAGTTTCCTGGAGGCAGAGATCATATGACCCCAGCCTCTAGTACAGATGGATGCTCACAGAATCCAAACAAATGAATTGAAATTTCATATAGGTGTTCAAATATTTGGACAGTGGTGCTATGACTAGAGGAAATTTAATACATACACCTCCAGAGACCCGAGATGAATGGGAGCATGTGAGCAGGAGATAGTTTTGGGCACAATAGGAGACAATGATTTCATATTGGTCAGAACTCTTAGATTCCATCAACAGAAGCCTATTCTGAAGTAGCTTGAGCAAAGGGGGAGCTTTTTGGCATCAAAAAGGCAAGTTTAACTGCTTTTCTGAAAGAAGTCCAAGGATAAAGCTGGATCTCAGAACACCTGCAACAAGGTACTGGAGAGCCTGGGGCCTCTGCTTCTCTCTGTGCCATCTGCCTTCTTCCTCTCTTTGGAATGGATTCCTCTACACTGCAGCAAACATGGCTGCTGGAAGCTCCAACCTCACATTCTTAACTGGCTTTTCCAGTTCCAGTTAAGAATGTTTTGGGAACCAGTTAGATCCTTTTTGGGTAAAGGCAGCTGCCACCAAACCCGAGGACCTGAGTTCTATCTCGTGAACTCACATGGTAGAGAGGACCAGTTCTCACAAGCTGTCTTCTGACCGCCAATGTATGAAGCATGTACACACACACACACGCACACACACACACACACTACAAAAAAATAAAGTGTAATAAAAATAAAAATGTTAAAGAATGTTTTGGGTAAGCCAGGAATGGTGGCATACACCTGTAGTCCCAAAGCTTGTCACAGGCTGGGACTGTTACAGTATGAGACCCTGGGAAGAAGTTGGGTCAGGGTGTGTTGTAAAAGAAGGTTTTGGGCTGGGCGTTGTGGCATACACCTTTAATCCCAGCACTCGGGAGGCAGAGGCAGGTGGATCTCTGTGAGTTCAAGGCAAGCCTGGTATACATAGCGAGTTCCAGGTCAGCTGGGGCTACAGGGAGACCCTGTCTCAAAAAGACCAGAAAAAAAAAGTTTTGGTGAAGAACTTTCTTTGGTCTTTTTGAGACAGGGTCTCTCTGCAGCCCAGCCCCATAGCCTGGAACTTGCTATGTAGACCAGGCTGGCCTTGAACTCACAGTGATTGGCCTGTCTCTGCCTCCCAAGTGCTGGAATTTTTTTTTTTAAAGATAGCTGCCACAGCTATTTTTGAGATGGAAAGCCATTTCCAAAGAATGGGGATGTGGATGTAACTCAGAGAGCATAGAGATTGCACTCCATTGCTCCAGTTGGAGACAGCGATGTTGAAGACAGATACAAGAACCGTGGTCACTCCCAGGAGTAAGCACCAGGCTTAGTGTTTACCACCTTGCTCCGTAAATTGTTGAATGATATATTTTTTATTTGTACAAGTGTTTTGATTGGTGTTATATGTGTAGTGCCCTCGAAGGCTGGAAGAGCTACCACTTGGGTGCTGGTAATCCAACCTGGGTCCTCTGGAAGAACAGTGAGTGCTCTTAACCTCTAAGCCATCTCTCCAGCCCCCTATAATTTTTTTTGGTAGGCATTAGGACTTGGCCCATTTCCCTCTTTTAACCCAGTTGGATTAGTCTGAAAGAACTTGTTGAGTCCCTAATATATACTAGATACTGGTGTAAGTTCCTGGGAGACACAAGGTATGTATCCAGGAGTCTTGGTCTTTGAATGGGCAGAGGTCGCGGATGGCGGTAGGCGAATTTAAGTGTTGGACCAACAACTCCCGGCTAGATGAGAGTCAATGGGGGCTGATCAATGCCAAGCTCCCAAGCCCAGGGGGCTCCCCTTTCCTCAGGCCTCTTTGTGGAGGCTTCTCTAGTGAAAACCGGAAGGGAGCCAGAAGGCTGTGGAAAGGTGGGGGGGGTCCTAGGAACCCCCAGGCGGCACCGGCTCATCCCTTCTGGAGGTCAGCGTCCCTCGCCTTCCTCCACAGGCCTCTCTGGCCCTTGGGTCTTCAGCAATCTTAGGTGGACAAGGACAGGGCCCAGGCCTGGCCGGGGTGGGGGTGGGGGTGCTGGGCCTGGCGGGGCAGCCAAGGAGGCCCGAGCCGCGCTGGTCGCCGGGGGGAGGGACAGCAACAGGTGACGGTGGCCCCGCGGGGCTATAAATAGGGGCGCGCGCCAGCCGCAGGCAGGAGCGGGCGGCGGGCCGGGGCTGGAGGCCGGGACGGCGGGCGGCGGGCAGCGCCATGGGGTCGCGGAGGGCTGGGAGTCGTGTCTGGGGCCTGAACGGTCGGGCAGGGGCGGGTGGCGACGGCGAGGACGATGGGCCTGTGTGGACGCCGGGCCCGGCCAGCCGCAACTACCTACTCAGCGTGCGGCCGGAGACGAGGTGAGCCTTCCAAGCGGGCAGCGTAGCGCTGGGGCCTAGCCGCAACTCGAGGGTGGCGGCCGGGTGTGGCCAGACTCTGAGAGGCCTGGGTGGGGCCCGTGCCCTCGAGCTGTCTCAGCCGGGAGGCCCAAGGACTGGGGAGAGAACCTTTAGGGGTCCCTCGTGGCACCTTTCGATCCCTTGAGACCCATGGGCCTCAGGCCTGTGTCAACCTGCGGCCCAGGAGAGGAGAAAGGCCCTGTTTGGGGTGATTCCAAAGGGGCCTGAAGGCTTTCCTTATCTCCTCCACCTCCACACCCTGCTACTCCCAGGACTGGATTCCACACTTAGCGATAAGGGATCCAGAGCTGTTGAAATTCCTCAGGCTGCAAAGGTGGGGGAGCCGCTGGTGGGTGAGGGTCGAGTAGAGGCTGTTTAGCTCAGAGTGAGACATACCAAGAAGAAATAAAGTGATAACTAAAGTTCTTCCTCTGGGCCTGGGGTTTTGGCCTTCTAGTATCTATGTTGTCTGGTGAGAGGAAGGGGTGCAAGGAGGTGGCCGGTTGGCTTTGTCTGGGTTGCCAGGTCGGGATCTAGGACTTGAAGGTCTAAGGGAATCGGTTGCCCTGCCCCGTTTCCAGACGCTGGGGGTTGAGATGCCAAGGGAGGGGTGGAACTGGTGAACCCTCCGTTGGTCTTCCTGGAGTTAAATAAGTTTGAAGGCTTTGTTTTAGGAGCTAGGTTACTCTCAGACAAAAGGACACACAAACAATAGACAAGCCTATAGACACTCAAAGATGCAGACACTCTAAGAACACATAAATGCCCTGGAGACCGAGATGTCCTGCTCCCTGTGGGCAGCTCAGTTTCCCTCAACTCTTGAACCTATTTCCCTAAGGGAAATGTGAGTGTTTGACTATTGGAATGAGTGTGATTTCTTAGCACCAGAATCTGGCTTGTTGTGAATTGTGCAGAACACAGCTGCTCCTCTGAGGTACTATCTACAGACTTCTGCTCTCTGCTTACCAAAGAGCACAAATCAGGCATCAAGGACATTCAGGAAAAGTCCTGGGCACTTCCTTGTGGATTGGCTGAGTTCTGTCGACCTTGGAGTTGGAAAAGTTCAAATGTAACCGGAACCTGTTTCTGCATAAAACTCATCAAATGGTGTCACATGTCTGGGGCAGGGCTGAGGACTGGGGTTAGTGACTGAGTCAGACTCAACAAGGCTCCTGGGCTGCCAGGAAAAAAAAAATCCCGTTTTCTCAAGTACTGGCTCTATAGAAACATTACAGTGAATTGTAGACATTTATTCTAGTCCTTAGTGAAGCTGACTCCTTTGTGAGAGCTTCATATTTGTCTCATTTGTCAATGTGACCTGTTTGGGCTTTGCTTCTTTATCTGGCTTTTGTCAACACCAGGAACAAGGGGAAGAGGAAACAAGATCCTTCTTGGAGATGTAGCAGTGGAGGAAAGGAAGGAAGGGTGTCTTGAAAACCAGGCAGAATAGGGAGGATACAGATCTGGGCTGTTAGGAACAAGACTAGAGATTGGGCATGGGGCTGAGCAGTTGGGGTAGACATTTTTATAGTGTGCCAGCCAGAGAGCTTGAGGTAGGAAAGGCATGTCTGACTTGAGTCCTTAATGGGGATGCTGTTAAAAAGAGGCTCTTCTTATTAAGGATTTGGAGGCTCAGAAAAGGAGCAGTAGGATAAAGTGTTTTCTAGTCTTAGACTTGGAACTATTTTGCCCTTGTAGTTTTCACTTCCTGCCAGCTGGCTACAGACCCCCACAGGTCCTGACCAGAGGAGCCAGATTTGCTTGGCTTCTGAAAGAGCCTAGGGCCAAAAACGGTTGTGAACAGAGCTGTACTGGAGAATAGGGAATGGGAGAGCTGGGGCAGTACCCTGTTCTTTGAAAGGTCTGACTTATGTTGGAGGAGGTAGCCACATAATCTTCTGTCCCTCAGAACAACAGTCTGACTGCCTCTGGGGGTCGGCGAAAGGCCCTAGAGACAAAGGAGCAAACGGTTGTTTGAGGACTTTATTAGCAGTGTTCAGCTCTAGCCCTAGCCCAGTGAGCTCTGACTACCCAGGGTCCTAACTGAGGCAAATTCTGCCCTCATTTTGGCTTCGACATTTGCTGGGTCTGCCTTGCTCTAGATCTGTTGTGGAGTTCTTAAAACATCATTCTCAAGGACTCTGAGGATAGGCTTTCCTTGGGAGATAGCAACAATTGCCATGTACCTGAGGCTCCAGAAGCATTGGTCTAGCTAGGGTCCAGAATTTATTTCATGCATCTATTACTTCCTTCCTGTCCCATAGTCCCTGGAGGAGTTTCTAGTCCAATGTCAATTCAAGGATATTTTAATGTTCACTTAGTTTTCTGGTCCAGTAGACACTGTCTCTTTCATGAACCAGTCATGAGGCTCTCACCCTTATGGAAGTGTGGATAGGCTAATTAGAGTGCTTTAAGGAAACACAATTGAGAGGAAGCAATTAAGACTAGCTCTTGTAGAACACTCAGAAGTTGTAGAGGTCTCTGGCTCCTAATTTCGTGAAGACCCCTGATACTGGTTTGCTCACAGGAGCAGAACACTATGATATGGGTACAGACCGCTTTGTAACAACCTCCTTTTCCTCTTGGGTCAAGTATGTTTCCTATTGTGTTTAGGGAAACTGAGGTATCAGGCCAGAATTTTCTAGAGGTCTTTTATATCCCATAATAGATGAAAGGCAGAAAAGATGAGGGGCCCCCAGCTTCTATGTCTGTCCTGGTTTCTTCAGGCCTACTTGTGCTTCTGTAAGAACTTTCCTTCCTGGTTCCTAAATTCCTGTTCTGAGGACCTTATCAACATTTGATGCCTCTGATTCTGACTCTCCCAGAAGGTCCCCTGCTCTGGCTTAGTCAGCTGGATCCCAGCAGATCTTCCTCTTTTTGATGACCAGGTACCTCTACAGGCCTGATAATTCCTCCTGACCTGATTAACATGTAAGATGAGGGACTGGAGAGATGGCTCAGCGGTTAAGAGTGCTTGCTGCTCTTCCAGGGAACCTGAGTTCAGTTCTCAGCACCCATATCAGGTGGCTTAAAACTGCCTGTAACTCCAGCTCCAGGGGATCTGACTCCCTCTTCTGGCCTCTACGTGTACCTGCAGACATGCATATACCGCTGTCCATATACATAATTAAAAATAAAATGAGTCTTTTCAATGAACCATATAACAGGAGGTTTAGAGACAATGAGGCCTGGAAGCAGAACTATACAAGTAGTCTGAGAGACCTGGAGAGGACTCACTATCTCAGCTCAGCCCCTTGCCCATGGGCAGGTAGGACCTGTCATTTTCCTGTATAAATTAGAAAGCTGACTCTGGCTTACCCTCATCTTTTTCTTAGGAAAGAAATCCAAATGCAAAGGAGAAATCTCTGGAAGTTGGTGGTCCCAAAAGGATAGAGTTGGCTAGTGCCTTGGACCTAAGGGAGGTTCTGCCCATATAGAGGATTTTAAAAAGCTCTAAGCAAAGGCAGCAGCACTTGTGTACCCTTTTTTTCTCTTTTTTTCTGAAACAGTAGCTCCCTCAGAGGCCTGGACTCTTCCTGTCTGAAAAATGCTCCCTCCACTTCTTTCTCCTCTTCCCATAAAACAGCCAAGAACCTTGGAAAGGAGCAAGAACCATAGTCATAGTGGGCCTTTGAGAAGATCAGTGAGGATCTTAACTGTTGACAGGGAGTTGAGTCTGGACACATATACACTGGGCATACTGCAGTGTTTTGCTCAGAGTGGTGCTTGAAGATGGGCATGGTGGTGTGTATGCTTGTAATCCTAGTACTTGGGAGGCTGAGGCAGGAGGACTGCTGTGAATTCAAAGCCAACAGAGACCCTGTCTCAAAAAGCGAAAAAAACAAGTTGAGCATAGTAGTGCTTTTGGGATCTAATACTTGGAAAGTGGAGGCAGGAGGATCAGGAGTTCAAGACCAGCCTTGGCTACATAGTAAGTTCAAGATCAGCCTGGGTTGCATGAAATCTTTTCCCCAAAAACCAACCAACCAATCAAAAATAAAACAAAACCCAAACAACCTACCAGAATGTGATATGAGGGGTCATTAAACATGGGGCAATCAGGATGTAGACCAGAGCAGAATGACTGGAATAAAGTTTTAGAAGAGAAAGGCCAAGAAATGTTGATTGAATTTGTGAGACAAAGGCAAGGGAGGAGTAGGAGATGGCAGGTTTTGCCCTTGGGAGTTTAGAGACTGCTAGCAGCATCCAGGAACCCAAGAGCGCTGGAAAGGAAGCTGGAGGGGTGGGGGATGAGTTTGGCTTTGTGGTCATCAGGAGATGGAATCTTAAGCTTTTCTGTGGTTAGAGATACAGATCCTGAGTGCCATTAAGCAGGCTAGGTTGCCTAAAAGAGGGGTGAGCTGAAGGGTGGGGTTTATTGGAGGAAGAGGTCAAAGTTGACTCATACTAAAGGGCTGGAAGGACAGCCCTGTGTGGACCTCACTCCTTAATGGAGGATACAGGCCCTAGTTGGTACCCAGGACTGAGCAGGGCCTCTAAGCGCCATGGGCCCTGTGTTGGTGGTCTAAGGCAGCTGGGTGTCTCTAGCTCCTGTTGAATTAATTGCTTTGTTTTCTTCCTCTTCTTCACTGTCTCAGCTAGTGTGCCTTGCTCTTTAACCATACTTTAATATATTAATGGTGAGTGTTCTCCAAACCACTCATCTTCTTCCCAGCCTGTCTGGGGATTTCCAGGAATGCTGCTGCTGCTGCTCTGTCTCTCAAAAGGCAAGAATTGAAACAGGAGCTGCCCCCAAGCTGGTGTGCTGTGGGGTGTGGAACAGTCATAGGTACCCCCACCCCTGGGGACTGAGACCCAAGTGCCTGATATACATCTTTTTCAAAGTACAACTTCCAGGGAACTTCATCCTGCCTAACCAATTTCCCAGGCTGCTGCACTTAATGAGTATATCTTGGTTTCAGATATATCGATGTCCAGTGGTGAGGCCACTTGCTAACTGG